CGAGGACAGTTAGTGATTGGTTTCACATCCCTGTTGGGAAAAAGTTTTAAAGTCTGGACCGGAAGCATTTCAAACCTGACCATGTCACTATACTCATACAGGCACATACTAACTCCAGAAGTGAACATGGTAAGTGTTTCGGCGCCTTTGATGGGCGACTCAAACGGTCACCGCACCCTACATGCCTGGCACGTGTGCGTCGCAGTTTGAAGCCGTGCGGGCCGTTCCTGTGCAGGAGCTCGTGCCGCCGATGCGCTCGGTTTCGGCGGGCCATTTCGCATCGGTTGGCACCGGGGCCTGTGTGCTGGGCCACCAGCAAGGCGTCGGCGAGATGGGGAATGAAGGCTTCACCGCGGCGCACAGAGCGGTGGCCGCATCCCGTGCAGAGTCCGCACGGAAGGGGGGGCGAAGCCAAAAGGACGGCCAAGGACGCCGTCGCAGGGCGTCCGAATGAAATCCATCGATGTTTGAATAGCTGTTGCTGATAGCTAGTGAGACTACTACATGATACACGGATCGCAGCGGGGTTTGGAGCATCACCGAGGCGTCGCAGGTCGGTCGTGGTGGGTCGCTTCAGCGAGAGCGCGCCAGTGTCGAGACTCCACACAGTTCCAAAGCCTCAAGCTCAAAGCCTCGGATGTTTTGAAAGCCCACAGAACTGCCGTGAAGAGAGAAGACCAGCTCGGCTTGGGAGGACGACGGCCAAGCAGGATCGGATCGACCCGATGCCCGCTGCGACTCCGCAGGACGCCTCGACCTCGCACCATGGACCTCGGCCCGATCGACTCCTGGGGCCGGACCCCATCGTTCGGGCGCCACGCTCCTCCGCTGCGCCAACGAAGCCATGGACCATGCCAAGCTTGAGAGCTCCTACGGCCCAAAGCCGCCGCGGCCCGTCCTCCGCCTGGGGACCGGCGCCGTCCGGCGGAGCCCGGAACAACAAGAACGAGGAGCCCATGGGACGGAGCAGCCTGGGAGCCAACAGAGGTTCAAGAAGCCGACCGTTCGACTATCCCTTAAAACAGTACCCCAGTGTCATTCGGGTCCCAAATACATCAGGTCACTGGATACCTTTGTTGCAGGTCCAGTCTGACTCAGTTCTCAGCCTGGGTCTTGAAAACCTCATCTTGAGTAGCACCCCCCCAGCCTGATGAGGCCTGTCTTTGACCGGTAGGGGCCATGAGGTCTCATGGGTTCCTGTAAGCGACCGTGGCACCAAACCCGACCGGTTCGGGGTGAGGGGCGTTCGTTCGGGGGCAGTGGCACAAGCAACTGCAGCGAACACTGCACCCCTCACAGAAACCACGTGCTCGAAGCTGGACGAATCCATGTAGGGACGCTTTGCTGGTCGATCTGGATAAAACAATGATACAACACATAATTAGCTGAGAGCAGAGCTGCCAATAAGCACACAAAACGGTATCGCCCCGACAACTTCCAAGCCAAGTGGAAATCTGATCGAAATATGACTAAACATGATTCTGGACCCCCAAGTGGTGGTTAATGGACAACCCTTGACCTCTAAGGTGCTGGATGTGGTCCTGCGAACTCTTTTGCTGGTCCAGCTTGTTGAGCCGCCCAAAACGACAGACTCGGACAGCGGCCGTGGTTCGACAGTCAGGGATAGACCAATCAAACACTTCCACAAGTCCACAAATGGACACCAAAACCAGTCCTCTTTTTCAGCTTCCAGCACCCCACCACCTTCAACCCTGGGTCTCAAACGTCTCCAACTGGTCATGCCCAAGCCACTGTACAAGCTGCTCGCTGGCGAGCTCGGTGAGCCCACCGTGCGTGAGCCGTGTGAAGCTCCGCGCGCCGTTGACCATCTCCTGGCGCCCCGCCGCGGCCCGGGCGGAGGCGGTGCCGGAGGCGGAGGCCCCGCGGCTTCGGACGCACGTGGGTGGGGATTGGGACCAGGGTGAGGCCAAGAGCTTCAGCGTGTTGGGGGACACAGTCTGCGTGCTGCATGACGAGCGTGTCTGTTAGGGGGTTCGGGAGGTGAAAAAGCATCGCCGTGACAGGGAACGGACATTGTCCGGGCTGCAGAAGGTGGCCAAAGGGTGGTAGTCGGGAAGCAGTGAGGATTCGGAACATTTCAAACATTTTGTCCAATTGTCCGGCAAGCGCAAGGCTAGAAGGAACGAAATCGATTGATGAAGCGGACTCCAATTGATCGCAGGTCCACGAATGTGCAGGTTGATGTCCCAAGACTCTCAAGAGCAAGTGAAGAAAAAAAGAGAAAAACTTCGCAAAAACGGCCTTTTTAGGGGTCCACCATGGTCCTTCCAACATATCCTTCCAACACATCAGCCTCACCCATGTTTCGACCGGCGCACCTGTGGACTCCACTCTGACCAGCTGGCCGCAGCTTTCTGCGCCACGAGCTCCAGCAGCGGCACGTCGACCTGGCTTCGCCACGACCGCCACGCCGCGGTCCCAGGCACCGGGGCTGCCACCGCGGACCGCCACCGGAGCGACCGGGAACCGAGGGATTCCAGCAGTTCCGAAGGTCGGCCCCCTCACCGAGGAGGGAGAACACGAACGAGCCTCGAGTTCAGATGGACGACTGTACCTAAAGCAGGGAGCGAACCGAACACTGAAGACACGCTCCAATCGCTCCATGGGACCATCCGGATGGACGTCGATCGTACATGCAGTCGACGGAGCCTAGAGGGGAAGTACATCGATTTGGGGACTGGTGGTCGTGGTCATCTGATCATCTGTACCTTTTACTGCAGACAGCGGTGAAACATGTTTGTTGTACAGTTAGACTAATTGTACTACCTTTTTGCACCTCAAGGTATCAAGTAAATAGAAGGTGGATACTTGATAGATGTTCCTACCTATCGATTCGGATGTTCCTACCTAATATCTTCCTACTTTGGAACACTCCAATCACATCCGCAATGGATCGAAGTCAGAGCAGAGGTTCCCGGGATGTGTCCCTTTGGACCGAGGACAGGAGCACCCCAAACCAGGCAGAGCACCCAATTTCTCTCTGAAGAGTGGGTGATCTTTTTGGTTTCCCAGAATGCCTTGGGGTGGGGAGAACATGGTTGCGCAGGCCAGCGGAGGCATCGGCTGTGTTCTGTGGCACTTGGGTCTCTGTCTCCCAGAGGCCGATCGACGAAGCCGCTTCTCAAACCGGACCCCAAGAGACATGAACACATCTTGGGTATATCATGGTATATCATACAGTATATCCCATGTCCAATAAAAGTGGATGTTGATGGTTAGTAAAAGCCTTTCTCAAGAATAGTGATCAGCGAATCCACTGGAACTGAGACACACCCGGAATACACATCCCGACTCATCGACTCCCAGCGAGCTCCAGGTTCCTTGGGGGGTTCTTTGGCTCCGCCCCAGGCCAGCCTGCTTCAGCACTCCAAGTCTTCAAGAGCTGTTCTCCTTTGGGCCACGAGCGGGAGGACTGCGCCTTTTTAGATCCGATCGGTGGGACCCATCCATGTGAACGATGTGAATCCGATCGCGGGTGTCCTGTATGATTCTAAGCCACTACAGCGAGTTCCTTGGAGGGTCACAAGAATCGTCCACTGGACTCCCAGGGTGAAAGACCAAGGGAG